TCAAATTCATTTTGATATAAAGGTGTTTTAATTGATTGAAAGTCTTTTAGTGTAAATTTTTCGATGGTAGAGCTGAGGGCACAAAATAAATAATAGATATTCCGTTAATTATGTATTCAAATTTTTTCACATCTTAATGTAATTATATATCTGTCTATCTATATATCTATTAATCACTCAACCTTTCTATCACTTGTATTCTTTCTTTCTTTCAACTCTCCGTATCAACTGGATGACTATTAAAAAACTTAATTATTTATCTTTCAATTAATTAAGGTTTTTAGTTGAGATGAAAAAGTCAGTGTCACGAGCGGATCTTCATCTCAACTATAAACCTTAATTAATTGAAAAATATTAAATGGTCAAGCGGACCACGAAAACTAGTGAATTTAATATGTTAAAATGAAGTATATCTTCACTAAAGCTCTCCGTGGCCATTTCATTTGTCGCCGAGAATCAAATAAATTACACGACATTTGAAAAATTGCAAAAAGGAGGGAAAATTCAAAAGGTGGGGTTGAGATGGGAAGTTAGTGTCCGAGTGGATCGAGGTCACGAAAGCTCAAGTGGTAGAGCAGCGGCGTATCTAGCCGAAGATCGTGGGTTCGAATCGTGACACTGACTTTTTATCTCAATTAAAAACCTTAACTAATAGATAGATATTAATTGGTCAAGCGGACCACAAAAACTACTGAATTTAATTATTTATTTTCTTTCTTAATTCATAAATTTTACTTAATAGATAAAATTAATGATGCCCTCTAAGTCTTAGCAGTTTTCTAAAAACCTAACTTACTTAAAACAAAATTCATACCATTCTCTCACTCTTCATCTCTCACAATGTCTCTTTCTCTATTTCTCTCTCATAAAGGTTTTTATATACAACAATTAAGAGAAATTTAACCAATAATTTCTCCCGACTTCCCGCTTTATCTTTGTCTACATTTATTACTATTATTATTATCATTAAGTGTCTTTATTTTTAATTCATACAAACATAATTATACAAACTGATTAAAATGAAAATAAATTATCACCTTAACATAACAGGACTTTTAATGAATAAAGGATTACTTCATAAAGACAAATATCAGGGTCTTAGACCGCCAGAGAAGTCTACTATGATAATTTTTAAAGAACATGATTAATAGTACACGATAATATTTAATACATAATAATGTTAGTAATAAGCGATTTTAATTAGTACATAAAAACAATAAACCCTAATATTGATAATGCTGTGATATCAAAGTAAAAATAAAGAATCGTAGTTTTAGGTTTGTAACTGTTTGTTACGAGCGGTGTTGGCCGCTTTACAGTACTTAACTAATAATGTCCAATCTCTGCTGTTAATTTACTCTAACATTTTTTCCCCTGAAACTGTTTCTTCGCTGAAATATTTCAACCTGTAAGCGGTACAGACAGCCAGAAAGTTGAATAGGTCCTCTTCTTCTTGTCTAGTATATAGTGTACATGCAATATTATCTTTTTTAAAGTATTTATAATTTACGTTTAACACATCGCCTCTTATTTTAATAATCCACCTCGTAGAATCGAGTGTCAGGCTGCCGGGGTGGTCAGCGAATTTTTAATATTATCTTCACATTCTTTGTTGTAATTAATTAGTATAGAATTTCTTATTTCTTTAAGACAGTTTTTCCATAGAAATGATAAATGATGAAGTGAGTGTGGTGTTCAATCCTTTAATTTGCTCGATTTAGGCAAGTGTTCTTTTACTCTTGTTTTTATTTCTCTACCGCTTTGCCCTATATATTTAATATCACAATCATTACAATTGAGTTGGTAAACCCCGCTTTTTGCCAAGTTGTCTGCTTTGTCTTCAGGTTTTGAGAGGATGTGATAAATGCATTAATAATATAACAGATTTTGATCTACCTCCCATTTTAAATATGTACATAAATAATATCAAACGTCCAAATAATTAAACTAATTATTTTAATTGTTATTATTTTTATAGTAATTTAATAATATTAAGTATTTACTAGTATAATATTTATTTGTGTTATAATTTCTGCGTTTCGCACGTTCAAATGAGCGCCATTAAAAAAATCAGCTGCTAATTGGAACGTCGCGTTGGCGGAGGTATCAGCGGGTTCACTTTGGCAATTCATGTCGAGAGACGTGGTTGTAGAAGTCCTTCAACCTGATGATGAGCTAAAAGGCTCGAAATCCGGATCGTTGCAAAACAACTTACTGTGAGTAGGAACTATCTTTTTAAAACGTTTTTCCATAATTCAGTATTAGCTGCATTACAATGATTTAGTGTTATATCTATTTTAAACATTTTCAACAGGATTTGTATTTGCCTGAACCAGTATATTTGTTTTTTAATTATCTGAGTAGCTAAGATTTTTGGTAAGCTATTTAATTGTATACAGAAACATGGGGAGCGATTTTGTTTCCGCTTGGACAAAAAAGGTGGGTGCTTATTGAGGGAGCTTGAGCAGTTTTTTGATAAAGAATCTCTCGCCCTCTCTAATTCCTCGTACTCTTCCCATCCCCATACTTGGGCTCCATAGCAAATCACAGATCTACAGGCTGTATTAAACAACTTCGCCTTTACTGGGAAACTTATATCGTTTTTATCCATAACCTGGCGCCATATTATATTTAAGCCCATTTTAATTTTTCCCGACTTTTCTGTAAAGTGTTTGGTTAAGGACAAAGTGGGTGTAAGTCTGATTCCTAAGTCTTTGTACTCATTAACCACCTCAATGCATTCTTTACCCAAATGCCACTTCTCGTTAGACGCTGGTCTGCCTCCATTCCTAAAGACCATCAATTTCTCTTTTTCAAGATTGATTTATAAGTTCCAGTTTTTGCCGTAGTTATCTAGTGAATTGATCATTCCTTGCAGTGTATGGGTTGGAAGCTAGTAGCACAAGGTCATCTGCATAAGCGAGCAATTTAACCTTACCACCACCTTCAAGGCATATTCCTCCATCTAGCTGGCTTTCTGGATCATTTAGGTTGAACCTTGCGCAGGGGCAATATCGTAATCAATGAAGTTCTACCGAGATGCGATTATTGCTAGTTGAAAACTATTATCTCTACATTTATTTTCCCCCTCATTTTCTTTCAATCTGTTTTCTCTCTCTCTCACTCCCATTCTCTTCTCACCTTTGCTAACGTAAACCTTAAAATCAATAGAAATTAAAAATTAACAATAAATATGTTCATTAGATGTTTTAGTTAATTAAAATAAGATATGTTTGGTTAGCGTATTTGATTGCGTATTTATAAATTATTAAGAGTTACCATTCCTGTTTTTTTAATGTCTTTTTACTACAAGTTTTATTTAAAAAACCCAATAGCAGTAGTAATCTGTGCCGACAATTGGTAATTGTTTGTTTTTATAAAATAACTGTTAATTTATTGTTGTTAATTCGTTGGAAAATATAGGCCCTGATGATGACCTTGAAGCCCGGGTCGAAACCTTGGCGAAATTGGAATTTTGTTTTTTATTTTACCCCTTGATCATACGTCAAATTAAACTTCAAGTGGTCGATACCTTCTCTTCAATAAAATAATATTCTATCTATCATCTATAAGTAGAAATTAATTAAGATTTTTAGTTGAGATAAAAAAGTCAATGGCACGAGCGGGATTCGAACCCACGATCTTCGGCTTGATACGCCGCTGCTCTACCACTTGAGCTATTGTGACCACGATCCACTCGGACACCAACTTCTCATCTCAACCACACCTTTGAATTGTCCCTCCTGTTTGCCATTTTTCAAGCGGACCACGAAATTAGTGAATTTAATGATTAAAAATGAAGTATACTTCACTAAAGCTCTCCGTGGCCATTCCATTTGTCTTCGAGAATCCAATCCGATTACACGACATTTGAAAAAGTTGGTGTCCGAGTGGATCGTGGTCACGATAGCTCAAGTGGTAGAGCAGCGGCGTATCAAGCCGAAGATCGTGGGTTCGAATCCCGCTCAATAAGTTGAAACAATTTGTATAGAAAAGTAGATTTAAAAATAAATCTTTGATGAAAGTTTCTATTTATTGTGCGAATAAATGTTTACACAAATCTCATTTATCTTATTATTTTATTGTTTTCTTCAATGAATTATGTGACAATTCGAACACGTCTCAGTAAGTAAATTACGGGTGAATTTAAATTTATAATTATTTGAAGCGCGCTGAAATTCGCTGTTTCTATCTATGTATCGTCTGTAAAATTGCCTGCATACAATGTACGATTTGATATGGTAAGAGAGAGAGGTGTGATTTTCTGAAAGGAAAGACGGATGAGCCATATATTATGCTGTAAGGGCCGGAGAAAAGATAGCCTCCTGAACGATGGGCTGCCGCTCTGATTGATTTCCTTTTCAAAAAGTAAAATGTCTCGTTGTATCTTGAAAATTCTTTGCAAATAAACTAGATAATACATGTTTATTTAAGTAAAGGGGTGTAAGATTTATAAGTGTGTAACGAAACCGTTTATTATATAATGATATTTTTATTTTGTACCACTAACAGACTGAATTAGGAACTATAACAACCACCAAGTTGACAACGTGGTGTGTGCTGTTATGTGTTATTTTTTTGTATTAATTGCACCAACTAATATTTAGTCCAATATGTTACTTGCTTTATTAGGGAAGAATATAGAAAGTTTATACTATGAAAAATAAATGAAAGATATTTTATTATAAAAGTTAATGAAATTACACATTTTAAACTAGGTGATTGTTTATTACTGATCCGTTCCAATACAATTAAAAATTTACTGGAAGGTTCTAAAGTTCAAATATTCCTCTGAGAACTTGAAAGCTTTAATTTATGATTTTCAATTCAGTCCCGATTTTAAACTTTTACATTAATAATGTGCTTTGTAATTATTTATATTGTTTTTGTTTGTTGTTTAAAATTTTTGTTTAACATAATTCAGTGAAGTTTTTTTTGCATTTATTTTAGTAGGTAATATTTTTCACAAAATTTTTTATATTTTGATTTTTAACTTGCAGCTGGAGTACTTGAAAAGATACGGATATCTGAACAAAGACGGGCCAAGCGGAGAAGTAGCGGCTGCTTCTTTGTACAGCATGAAATCGGTGGAAAGCGCACTTAAACAAGCGCAGAAGTTCGGAGGACTGCCACAAACCGGAATACTCGACGAGGCGACAAAGAAGGTAAGCTGTGTATGTGTGTATATATATATATATATATATATATGCAAGCGTCTTTTCCAAAAACAAACGTGTCAAAAAATAGCTGTAAAAGTCTGCATAATTGCTGTAGAGATAGAGGATCATCTACACTTTATGGTACCTACGTGGATCTCCTCAGAAAATAAAGGTTTAAACAAGAAAAAGAAAAAACAAAATTTCAAATAAAGTTAGTCCTTCTAATTAAAAAAAATAATAGAAAACAAATATACATTAATTTACAAACAATAAAAAATTATGATAAAGACTTTACTCACAAATCACACTCACCTGAGATACAAAACATTAATTTTTTAATTTAGGAGAGATCAGAAATCTAAAGCACATATTCACGTGGTCGACCCAAGAAGAGAAAAGAGAGAAAAAATCTTTTTTTATCCGGGAGGTTTTTTCCCCGCGAAAACTCTCTATCTTTTTGTGGCGCTCTCTTTTAGAATGGCGCGCTTTTTCAAAATTCTCCAATATATATATATATATACTATATGTTATAAATACTCTCCCCGCTACAAACAAAAAAAAGAAGAAAAAAAAATCAATCACTATCTACTGAGTATTGCTATATACATTGATTTCCCCCCTCCCTCTGAGTTATTTTAAACTCTGCTACCTGTATTTAAGGTAACTATGTGGATCTCCTCAGAAAATAAAGGTTTAAACAAGAAAAAGAAAAAACAAAATTTCAAATAAAGTTAGTCCTTCTAATGAAAAAAAAAAATAATAGAAAACATATATTCATTAATTTACAAACAATAAAAATTTATGATAAAGACTTGACTCACAAATCACACTTAGCTGAGATATAAAACAATTAATTTTTTAATTTAGGACAGATCAGAAATCTAAATCACGTATTCACGTGGTCGACCCAAGAAGAGAAGAGAGAGAAAAAATCCTTTTTTTATCCGAGAGGTTTTTTCCCCGCGAAAACTCTCTATCTTTTTGTGGCGCCCTCTTTCAGGCTGACGCTCTTCTTCCCAAAATTCTCCAATATATATACTATAACTTTTTTGTTATTTTTAGGGCCGGCAAACTACATTGGTCATTTCTTCTTAGGTTTGCATTTCTTTTCTTATCTTTCTCGCTTTTTAAGCCTTCTTATTTCTTTTACTGATTCTCCTCGTAACTCATGATGTATCATGATGTTTTTACTACGGTAAACAACTTACTGTATTCTTTATCCTACTGCTAGCCTCCTTATGTACCTCAGGGCCTCGAGAATTGTGGATAAAATAACGCAAATAACAAACATAATTACACAGTAACAAAAAAAACCACCTAAAAATGCTAGTCTGGTCAGCATTCACCCTACCCCAGAGTACACGATATTCCTCGGGGTATTAAGGGACATCTACAGCTAAATCTACTTTTTATACAATAGACAAGAACTATTATTTGAAGACTACAAAAAAATATTTCGAATCTTTTTATACATTCAATGAAGTAACACCAAGCTTCAATTACTTTAAAATATTATTTAGTAATATATGTTTTTTTAATTAATTAAAAATCTTTGAAAAAATAGTTAATACTAACCATTTGCTGTTTTGTACAATCCGGATTTCAACTATTAAACGCTCATCATCAGGTTGAAAGAGATACTAGAATATCTATCGACGTGAATTGTAAAAGTGAACCCGTCTATTAAAATTAAATAATATTTGACAAACAAATTATTCATTACATTTATTTTTATCTAAAACATGTATTATATACAACCAGCACTTGAAAATCTCTATGAAGTGTGTTATTTTTACGTAAAAAGTGGCAGAAACATTTTTTTTTGTACGACGGTTCGCAACAGCAGAGGTCATATCAACCCTAGGGTGCCCGTGTTTAAAAAAAAAAGCCCATTTGTCAGTATTTTGGGTTCGAATGCAGGGGCGCTGGATTCGAACCCGGGACCTTTACCTTTTAGTGATGAGCGCCGTGTCAACGCCTAACTGGTCTCCCTTCATAACAAATTAATCTTTCGCCGTTTACAATTACGATACATATACAATACAATACAATTAAAATTTTGGGTTGACAACATTGTAATCTTTGATTATTGAAGTACTTGGCCTATCCATAACCCGTCCTTCCAAATACAAATCCAAATTTATGATGGTATGTGTATGACAAGTTGATTTGTATGGTAATTTTGATTGTCGGTTGAGTACGTAATAAAGCATTTTAAATCGCTAATTTAAATTCTCCGTTTAGGAGGAGATGATAACAGGCCACAATACATAGACTTTCAATGTCCAATTGACTTTCATACCAACCGGTTTCAACCCACTGGATCATTCTCAAGGTCCTACAATCAACATTTCTGTCAGTGTGTTGTGATTTGTGACCGTTAGTCGTTGATTATTCAGAAATCGTGAGTGCACTCTGATATGATGTAGGCATCTCAACACGACACGCAAAAATGGCACACTTACGCAGAAAACAAACACTTTGAGCCCTGAAGATGACCTCAATAAAGATCGAAACGTTGGCACAATAAAGAAAATGTTTTTTTTTGAAACCTACATCCTACCAGACCACATCTCACGATTTCTGAATAATCATTTCAGTCAGATTTAAACAAATTTACACAAAAACAGTAAATCTGTACTCACAAATACACTTGTATATATATAATATCTTTAAGCTACAGGTATCACAGCACTTATTATAGAAGTGGGTAGGTGTTCCTTTATCCTACGATAATTATGAGTCGGTTACCCCACAGGTGACGTCTCTAACGTACAGAGACAACACATCGCAGATATGTCAGTCTGTTATTTAGAGATAAGTGCTGTGATGCCTCTAGCTTAAAGATTATATGTACACAAGTGTATTTGTACGGATTTACTGTTTTTGTAAAAAATTGTTCAAAACTGACAGAAATGTAGGACCTTGCGAATGACCCAATGGGTTGAAACCGGTCGGTAATAATGTGAATTGGACAGAGAAAGTCTATTTATTGTGATCTGACGTGAACCTTCTAGATAGAGAATTAAATCTGAGGTCAGGGGCCTTCGGGGACCGCAACGGTTTATTCGTTGTCACTATACTTACAAATGGGCTTTTTTTCCAAAACACCGACACCCTGAAGGTTAATATTGATGATGAGCGATCGGCGGGTTCATTATTCTAACAATTCATGTCGGGCGACGTGCCTGTAACTACTTCCAGCTGATGATGAGAGTTTAATGCCTGCAATCCGGATCGTTAAAAGCAGCAAATTGTTAGTAAGAAATATCTTTTAAAGATATTAAACAACATACTCACCCCACCTTTATCAAAGTGTGAAGTAGGATCTGTATAGATGGCGCATTCCTCCCGCAATACCTTGCAGTCATGCAGGTTTAGTATTCAACGCCCTAAAAGATTCTCATTTTTCTCTCATTGAAGAGATTCTGCACCCTCGTAGGACGGCTATTTTACCGAGTGTTTGATCTTTATTTATTCTGCAGTATTTATTGTAGTTAGTTGATAGTTAATTACTGCTTCTGTTACATGTTCTTTATTTATTGGTTTGTGTCTTCAAATTGTTAGTTTTGTCAAAATGTAATTTGTTATTTGGTAGGTTTGCATTTTTAATTGTTTCATTGTTGTTTGTCTTTATTTATCCTTTGTTGTTGTTTTCGTACCGAATTTTTGATTTTTAGTACTTATTGTGGTTGATCAATATTTATTGCTCTCGTTACTTGTTATTTATTGCTTTATGATTCTGAATTTCTAGTCATGTTAAAAATTGGAATTTGAATGTTACTCTTGTTGAATGTTCAATTAAAAAAAAAAATAAAATAAAAAAAATTCAAGATCACTATTGAACGACTTTCAAATAACATTGACGCTATTTAAAGACGGATTTTTCCGCTAACGCCTAGTTTCCTGGGGATTTTGTCGCAGTTCAGGTTATAGTCGTATGATACAAGCTTGTAAACAAAGGCACCGTTCACGGATGTTATGGATTTTATCTTGATTGCTGACGATGGCTTGGCAAATGCTGAGGACCTGATAGTATAATAAGCTCTAACAAAGTAAACATTAATTACCTGGCGATTCGGGGCAAGTTCAGTATAAATGAAATTGAGGACGAAAAGCGTCAAAAATCCTTACCAAAAGCAAAGATTTTAGCTTAGCTTAGCAAAATAAAATATTACAGTGCAATTCGTTAACAATATACATTCACATTATAACCTGTCTCTTAGAATTTTAGCTTTTAATTTATATTTAGGCGGTTCAGTTAATGGGTCTGTTTTACACAATTTCTGACTTTATTGAAAGGAAGATGTATAAGTTGCAGCATTCCTAGATAACTGTCAATGTGTGGTGAATAGTGACCGTTAGGCGATGATTATTCAGAAATCGTGAGATGCGGTCTGGTGAGATGTAGGTACACTGAACATTATTAAAGATAAATGGACCAACATAACACCACACCCAAGTTTATTAAATAACACGTTCATAACACTGTTGTATCAACGGATATTTTACATACAACAATCAATTTTACAAACAACTATATGGCACAGCCATGGGTAGCAACCTAGGCCCGATACTTGCAGACATAATTTTGACACATTTATTAAACACAGTCATACCACAACTTCCTTTCACATTATTCTTCCTCACTAAGCACGTAGATGATCTATTGATAGCAATACCCACAGATCAAATTCAAACTACATTAGATACATTTAATAGCTTTCACCCATGCCTACAATTTCCACATGAAATCGAAAACAACAAGACAATAGCATTTTTAGATAAACACGTAATAAAACAACCAGATGGCACATTAATCACTGATTGGTATCAAAAACCAAGAAACTCAGATCGCTATCTCAACTTTACATCTCACCATCCTATTCATACAATAATAAACACGGCCAAAGGGTTACATCACAGAATTATTACCCTAAGCCATTAATCATTTCACCAAAAGAACATAAAGATATACAAACAGATCCTCCATAACAATCACTACC